AGCATCATGAGGTGGCGCGTGAGGGGTGGTTCCCTATTTTTTATTTATTTAATTTTGTTGTTGCTGGGAGTTGGAACCCTATTAGTTAGGTTGCTTAATATTTACGCTAAGTACTCTTTAAAATACCAGAATAGGGAGGATGGTGTAGGTCTAAGTTTATTAGATTGATCAGTATTGCTGAACTATGAAATATTTTTTTTGTATACAGGTATAACAGAATAGCTTTAGTGTAGTTGTTGTTTTAAACTTGAGTATGAACTTGCAGACTTGCAAAATGCAGCAAGATATTTTAAAAAACAGTTTTGTTGATTAAAAAACACTATATCGGATTCATATCGGTATCGGCAGATATCCAAATTTATGATATCGGTATCGGTATCGGACATAAAAAAGTGGTATCGCGCCATCTCTAATATTCACTTATAATTATGACACATTAACAATTGTAGTTGCATGTCTTAGTGCTCCTGGTACACTGCACAACTTGGATCTCACGCTTATCTTAGTTGTAGCTATGTGGCAGCATAGCTAGAATCAAACAGCATTTATAAACTTTAAAAAAAAATTGCAATGCAACAATGTGATAGTGACTGGATGCTATAATTGTACTTCAGGCACACATTCAGCTGCCACCCCAGTACAGACTGCAGGGCTGTTTAAACTTAGGTAATGGAAACAACATCTTTATCTTTTTAGACAAAGCAGTGTGATCATGACTGGGTACACCTCGGCCACACTAGAGTCACTGTGGCTCCCTCTGACCGTTGTCAGCGGAGATCAAAGACACTACAAACTCCTGTACCTGCTGCTGTACTAGTCCACGAAGTGTTGTAATGAAACGTGCCAAAATAAATGACATAAAACGACTTCACGTCTGATGGACTTTTATTTTTACCATTCATAATGAAATAACAAGGTAGAGCATGTCCACAAGTGTCCCAGGAGGAAGGAAACTGAATTCCTCAGAAGGAAGGATATTTTGGGTCTTATATAAAACTCTGGGTCAGGACCGGGACAAAGTCTCTTTTACACTGCTGGAATTGCAGCCACTGGAAAACAGAGCACACATCACTATCTATCAGTCAATAAAAATTATTCACTGAAATCTGCCAACATACTAAAGTGCATAATATTTAGTGTTTAAACAAATCCAACTTAAAGTTTCAGAGCTGTTTGATCACTTTGAAATAAACAGCAACACAGAGAGTGCACTCAGCTGAAATGATTAACTTGAAATAAAATGCGTAATTTTTTTTATTATTATTTTTTTAAATTGACATTTAGGAATCACTGTACCATACCATCAACTTCAACAATTTGTCACTACATGTATTTTTCTTTTTTCTGTATTTAAACAACTAAAATATCCATACAAAAGGAATGAAAGAAAGAAAGAAAGAAAGAAAGAAAGAAAGAAAGAAAGAAAGAAGCAAAGCAAAAAGCAAGTAGGGAGTGTGTTTTTGTTTCCATTAATATAACTAATATTTCCTCTAGTGTTCTAGTAGTTAACACCGTCAAAATCAAAAACTGGCCTGCGTTTTCTAATGTAGTCCATCCATTTCTTCCATCATGATACAAACAGGTCGCTCTTGTAGTTCACATCTGCTGTCATTTTCTCCATTCTGTAAATGTCCAGTGTGATGTTCATCCACGTGTTCATAGTTGGGCTCTCTGAAGAAAGCCATTTTTTGTGATGGCTTTTTTTCCTGCTGCCAGTAAAATATTAAACAAGTATTTATCGTTCTTTGTCCATCCTGCTGGCATAAGTCCAAAACATAGTTTTACTTTCCAAAAGTAAATATCTTCCAAATGTCTCGTGTATCGCTGCATGTATTCCCTTCCAATAAGTTTTAATAACATGACAGTCCCAGAAAATATGATAGTGATTTGCATTTGTATTTCCACAATTTCTCCAGCAAGCGGGAGGGTTGCCTTCATAGTGAGATTTTTGGTGAGGTGTAATAAAATATCTTATCAGGCATTTCCACCCAAATTCCCGCCAGCTCTGTGAGCTGCTACATTTCCATTGATATGCCCATATTGTTGTCCACTCTTCCTCCTTTATCTCTATTCCTCCCTTCATTTCCCATTTTGTTTTAATATATAAAGTCAAGTGTAATTTCATATTTGTCAATCCTTTATAGAGGTCACCTATAATACCTCTGTTTTTATTTGAACTGCCCTTTTAAATACGTCTAGCAGCTGTTTACTTAGTTCAGCCTTAGCTTTTATCTTTTTGTTCACAAAATGCCTCATCTGTAGACATCTATAAAAATCCTGTGTTTCTAATGAATATTTATCTTTCATTTGATCAAAACTAATTAGTCTGCCTTCCTCCATTACCATACATAAAGCTGTTAATCCTTTATTTGTCCAATCTTTGAATCTGGTGTCCAATTTATTTGGAGCGAAATGTGTGTCATATGCACACCACTTAAGAACTGCTATATCCTCTTCTAGTTTATATTCTTTTATTACTGTTTCCCAAATTTTAAAAGTCAACTTGATCCATGGATTTTCAATAGTTTTTATTAAATCTTGCAGGCTGCTGTCTGCTATAATAGCTTGTATGGGGATGGAGGTCAGATTCTCCTCAATAACTTTCCATTGAGCGTCATATGAAGGATTACATCAGCATATCATAGGCCTTAATTGTGCTGCCCAATAATAATCCCTAAGAGAAGGTAAGCCCCACCCCCCTTTTCCTTTGTTAAGTTGTAAGGTTTTGAATCTAATTCGGGGCCTTTTTCCTTGCCATATGTATCTTGACAAAGTTTTATCCCATTCATTAACCAGTAGCACTGCCAGGCTTCTACCTTTCTACCTTTAAAACCCGGAGAGCAGCCAAATGGCTGGTAGGCTTTTAGCTAAGCTTTAGCTTCAGCCAAGTGGAAGCTAAATTGGCTAGTCATTCATATGTATATTAGGTTGTTACCTGGGAATTCTGGAGGGAGGGGAGTGGGGGTGTGTCAATGAGGGGTGGGGAGCTGCTAAAAGCTGTGAACTTCCTTTTGTGTTCGTCTGATGCATTCTCAATCATCCAGGGAAATAAATCTCCAAAAGTCACCAACTTGGAGTGTTTCAGTTTGCCATCTTAGGGAGAAATCAACACACATGGGTGTAGGTCCTTTGTTGCTGAGATTTATTGATAAAAACAGTACAAAAAACCAACCATTTGTACACATATTTACAAATGGCCTGCTGAGTGGTGCACGGAGCATGTTCATTGGTTCATGGACCTCCCTGAACTAATGGCATTTATTGCAATTGTCATCTTGCGGGGGGTTAACAGGGTTCCATCTCTAAATGACTGCTGGTCAGCAAACCTGGGAAACCCACAGATAATTGGAACTATGGCACGAAACCGCTTCCAAGACATCATGCAACACCTACGCTTTGATGACAAGTCCACCCGCAGTGATCGAGCAAAGACTGATAAGTTCGCTGCAATTTCCAGTGTGTGGGGATCATTTGTCACCAACTGCATCACGTGCTACAACCCTGGTCTACATATCACCGTTGATGAACAGCTTTTCCCATCAAAGACTCGGTGCTGTTTCCTGCAGTATATTGCAAGTAAACCTGACAAGTTTGGGATCAAGTTTTGGGTGGCTTGCGACCTAAAATCCAAGTACATTTGGAGGATGGTGGTTTTCCGTCTAAGAAGTTTTTGCGCAAGTGAAAGCGATGTGAAGAAATTGTCCGTGGTAACATTTCTGCCCTTGTCTAGGAATGGTTCCATCAGCCTCATTACTACATTTTCAGAAAGTCTCTCCCCAGTAGGACGATTGGGGTCCTTGCCAAGATATGGGAAGACATTGCAAATGTACTTGGATTTTAGGTCGCAAGCCACCCAAAACTTGATCCCAAACTTGTCAGGTTTACTTGCAATATACTGCAGGAAACAGCACCGAGTCTTTGATGGGAAAAGCTGTTCATCAACGGTGATATGTAGACCAGGGTTGTAGCACGTGATGCAGTTGGTGACAAATGATCCCCACACACTGGAAATTGCAGCGAACTTATCAGTCTTTGCTCGATCACTGCGGGTGGACTTGTCATCAAAGCGTAGGTGTTGCATGATGTCTTGGAAGCGGTTTCGTGCCATAGTTCCAATTATCTGTGGGTTTCCCAGGTTTGCTGACCAGCAGTCATTTAGAGATGGAACCCTGTTAACCCCCCGCAAGATGACAATTGCAATAAATGCCATTAGTTCAGGGAGGTCCATAAACCAATGAACATGCTCCGTGCACCACTCAGCAGGCCATTTGTAAATATGTGTACAAATGGTTGGTTTTTTGTACTGTTTTTATCAATAAATCTCAGCAACAGAGGACATACACCCATGTGTGTTGATTTCTCCCTAAGATGGCAAACTGAAACACTCCAAGTTGGTGACTTTTGGAGATTTATTTCCCTGGATGATTTAGAATGCATCAGACGAACACAAAAGGAAGTTCACAGCTTTTAGCAGCTCCCCCACCCCCTCATTGACACACTCCCCTCCCTCCAGAATTCCCAGGTAACAACCTAATATACATATGAATGACTAGCCAATTTAGCTTCCACTTGGCTGAAGCTAAAGCTTAGCTAAAAGCCATTTGGCTGCTCTCCGGGTTTTAAAGGTAGAAAAGCCAAATGGCTGCTCTCCGGGGATTTAATTAAATTGTTTCTGGTTAATTTCTGTTGGTAATGTTTGAAATAAATATAACAATTTAGGAAGTATATTAATTTTAATTGAATCTATTCTCGAATATAAACTTAAATATGGAATTAGATTCCATCTCGCTATATCTTCCTTAATTGTCTTTTGTATTGGTGAGTAATTTCGTTCTAATAGTTCTGCAAGATCCTTAGGTATTATGACTCCAAGATATTTAAAGCACTCTGTTTGCCATGCTAATTGGTACTTACTTTTAATTTCTTCTGATGGAATATAGTTGTACTTAAGCAATTGTGTTTAAGTTTTAAGTCAAATTCAGTAACCATGTGCTCCCCAGCCTCGTGTATGGGAGCCGCTCATACCACCCAGAGTCAGAACTACTCCACCGTCAAACCTATGGCACCCCACACCCACTTCAAGGCTATGCAGCAAGTCATCACCCAGGGAGCTCAAGACGGGGTGGAGCTTGGGGTGGACGAACACTAGGTAAGGATTTGGTTGTGCATTGTATAAATGCAAGTTTTAAATATTATATTCGAGTGAACTATACAGTGTTATTTCTATCATCATATGAACAAAACTGTAAATAGAAATAACCCACACAAAAAGAAACGTGAAATAAATGTCTGAACTGGAAAGGGAGGGGAAGTAATTATAGGATATTGTAGGAGGGAAGTGTGTATTGTAGGATCTTTACCTTATAATATAACATGCATTGAGGTGACCATTGTTGTGATTTTGCACTATATAAATAAAATTGAATTGAAAATTGAAATATATTGAACTGATATGCAAACCATAACGTACAAATGCAGAGTGGTTTATATAAATAAATCTTAGTATTTTATGGTATGTTACAGTTTTGATATGACTCCTATATTTTGACTACCATATTGGATTTATTGTTTTGATTCCGTCCATAGGGTATAGTGTTTTTTTTTCAGCACACAGATGGTAGGCACTAAGAAGGTAGACTACTAGACAGATTGGACTAGGACTATAAGGAACAAAGGAGTACAAATGTACATGCCAAACGGAAAAGGAGAAAAAAATCAAACTGTTTTCTTTCTTTGGAATAAAAAACAAAACTCAAGGGCAAAAGATGGAGATAGAGAAGTAGTATTATTTTCTAAAAGGTGAAGAAAAGCAGGCTATGTATGGAAATACAAATTCATAACCATATCTGTGTAATGCTTCTCAGTTTTATTTTACAACAGCTAAGCTCCATGGCCTATGTTGTATATCCCACAAAAATCAGTAATCAGTACACTGTTTTTGATATTTTTCGGTTTTAAATCTCGCTGCAATTAGCCGTAAATTGTATCTCACAAACACTGTATGCTTGTGTCACAAACACAAGAAATTCAAATCAGTTTGGGTGTTTAAATAGTCTCTGATAGGTTTGTAGCTTGAACCTATTCGCTGGAACGTTAAGGACAATCTGCTACGCAGCAAAAAGCAAGACCCAAGGCACCAAAGTTCTTTCTGTTACTCATACATGAGGGAGACCTGCCTGGAGCCAAGTGTCGTTCCACCACTTGACCTCTGTCAGACTCTCAGCCAGGCTCCCCATAGCACTCCTTTTATTGTGGTTACATGAATATGCATAGGGTCATTAACATATAACATCTTACATAGGTACACATGTGAACAAAGAATACTGTGTGTGTGTGTGTGTGTGTGTGTGTGTGTGTGTGTGTGTGTGTGTGTGTGATTTGTGTGAGGTCAAGATGTGACCCTGTGAAGACTCCCCAAAGCTGGTGCCAGGAGTCCAATGGGTCCATCTAAACAAAAGGCTCTTCTACTTAAAGAAATATACGTGTGTTTGCTATACCATAAATCAATAAAGAGAAGATAGGATCTCTCCCATGTTTCCAGGCTGTGGGTGTGCATTCTAGTATGGAATACACACCAAGGCTTTGTAGTCTGTTAAAGATCACACAGCCTACCACTACACAACTGATTATAAACCTCTAAGCATACATGGTTAAATATTTCTAAGCATAAATGACAATCAACAATACAAAACCTATCAGTCTCCTCCTTGTATTTTGGGCCTTGAGAAAGACAGTTTTCTGCAGAGTTCTCACATCTTCAAACATAGCATAATTGGTATGGCCCGGATCTGACCCACACAATGTGCTTACACATGGCCCACATACCGCAAAGAATGATGGTCCTTTGGTCGCCCAGATCTGGTCTGCCAGAGGTGGCCCACACATGAGCCAGCACAAGGCCAGTTGCAGAACAGTTTCAGCTCTGGCCCCAGATGTCAGCCTAATGTGTACCTTAATCAAGCCATGTAATAACAACATGTGCTGGAACATAATAGTGCAAAAGTAACATGACGAAACTCTGCTCAGACAGTGAATGGGCTGATTCTTCTATAGCACTTTTCTACTCTCCCAGATTACTCAAAGTGCTCTATACAAAATGCCACATTCACCCAACCACACACTTTATCTAAACTGAGTGCTTCCTAACTTTATTCATAGTCTTGACTTGCAGACTGGAGGAGCCAGGGATCAAACCACTAACCTTCCGATCAGTAGGTGACCTGCTCTGCCTCCTGAGCTACAGCCACCCAGTGGTAAACATGAGTCAACCCTCACTAGGTTTTGGATAAAGTGTACACTCACAAACCTGTCAAACCTGCATTTGAAACATTGGCTACCGTAGCAGTATAGTATTGCAACAAGGCATTTGGGTCTTCTAACTAAAATGGGAAAATAGGAACATAAATAGTGCCATCATTGCCAGACCTGGCCCACATCTGGTTGACATACACCCTACCATGACATCAGTCAGTCAGAAGTGCCAGTGTGACGCCAGATCTGGGCCAGACCTGTTTTCTATAAGCCTTGGCCACATAAACCAAACCACAATCAAGACAGATGTGGCAAGCCATCACATAGACAGTGGCATCATTGCCAGGCCTGGCCCATATCTGGATGACATATGTCTTTACATGCCAGAAGTCAGCCAGCAGTGCCGACTTGACACCAGATCCGGGCCAGACCTGCTTTCTGTGTGGGTTTTTGTAAATACCATCAGTATTTTTATTTTTATTTTTTTATGCCAAAACCCAGTTTGCTCTTGTGCGATACGTTGGTAGCTCAAAGTCTGAAGATTTTCTAAACTGTTTATATCATCTATGATATCAAGTAACTGAGGTTTGTATTTTGTTGCAAGGTCTGTCAGGGCTGTTTGACTCCAGTCTCCATCATGCCAGCCCCTCAGGTCCCGACCCCTCTGTCATGAATCTGATTTCAGTTCTGGATTCACGGCCTCCACAGCCCTCACCCTCTGCTTCCTCCCTTCTCTCTCAGTTCCGCACATCCTCTTGGCAGACTGGTGAGTGTCAGCCTGTTGTAGGAACAACATTTAAAAAAAAAATAAAAACAAACTATTGTCAGTCCCAGTTCTTAAACTTAAAATAAAACGAAGTCAAATTTCAGTCCTAAAAGTATTTTCTCTGATTCTATAAGCAAAAAGTAAAATTTCTGTAGTCTCAAAATAAAAGTAAAACAAATGACAATTTTTCAAAAATGAACTTTTGAAAGAAGTTCATTTTTTCAATGACTTAGACTGACCAACACTTTCTATGTAATATTGTGTCCTGTAGCCATGCATACACCGGCCCCAACGGACCTCTTTATTTCAGGGGCACTTCCAGGTTCAAGCTCCTTTCCCTCCTCCTCAGCCCTTTCTGCATACCAGAATCCTAGCATTTTTTCTGGACGATCATTCACTCCCTCATTATCCCTGCAGGATACAACTACATTTAGCCGAACTTCTAACGGCTTGATATCCCCACATGATCCCTTGGTACATATCAAAAGATCCTCTCAGTCCAGCTTGGGCTTTGATCACTTGCTGTCTTCCCAGAGCACTGCCTTCCGGGGCTCCCAGGAATCTGCAACTCCCCAGACCCAAGACCCTTCCACTTCCTCCAATTGCCACCTGTCCCCTCCCCACTTTAATCTGTTGCCCTCTCAGCTTCATAACTCATCCTCTCAACTATATAATGCTTCGATGTCCTCATCGATGGCAGCCCTGCCACCTGCAGTTCTTCCTGAACCTCAGCCACTTCCACAGACAGCAATTTCCCGCCATGATAGTGTGATCAAGCATTACCCTCGCTCATCTTCAGCCCACACCACAACCCTACAATCACAATCCTATGCCAGCTCTGGTGGTTCATCTGGCTACCACCAGCTAGTCAGCCATTATCAGCATTCTGGTGTGTCCTGCAGTCCACTGGGGAAACTGAGCCTATCCTCTGACCCCAAGACCTCACCACAGATGGAATCCCAGATATATCAACCTGTCATCCAAACAGCCTATACCTCATCATTATCCAGCTCCTCAACTCCCTCCTCCTCTTCAGCTACTACTAAAGGTGCCAAAAGTTCCTGCTCCACAAGTAACTATTCGTCTTCTTCCTATACCCCACAAACTCCACCATTAACCTCCTCCACCACCTCCTTATCCTCTTCTAGCTCAAAGACCAGAACTATTTCTCTGTCTGCTCCCTCTCTTCAGCAACCCACACCTCAGTCAGCACTAGTACCACCTCTTCTCCCAGTGGTGTCATCATCCCTTGTACAACAAGCAGCAGCCAGTCAATATCTGTCCACCTATGGCTCTCAATCTGTGACCAAACCTAGCACGAGCTTGCCAAACCAGACCCCTCCCCAGAAACACATTCAGTCGTATTCCCCCAACCTGCCACCATCTACACACATGAATGTGCATTATGATGGCTTCAACTCACCCCATGTCCGGGATTTGAGCACTGGAGCAAGGAGCAGTGGGGGGAAAGACTTCATGGGTGTAGGCTCTGGTGAACGCTCCTTCTCTGCAGAGATAATTGCTCAAGACTCAAGTTTTGTCTCAACATCTCTCAGAAAACCACACACTCCATCCACTGAATATGGGAGTGGATCAGCTGGGAGTGGACCTAGTATTCACAGTGTAGTAGGCTCTGCGGTAACTGGGAACGGGGCTGCTGGTAATGAAGGCAGTAGCGCCTATCACCTGACTGAGTCTAGTACATCACCTTCAACCAATTCTACTATCAGTTATTCAGGATTGCACTCTCCTGTAGCTGCTCGACCTGTACAGTCCCCTGGAGGCTCAGGGGCAAATAAATACTTTTCTTCGATCCCAGCTCCTACTTTTATGTCCTCACCACAAGGTTTCCCTGATAACCGACAAGCTCGGAACCAGTTGTACCAGTCAACACCCCCGAACGCCAAAACAGAGGCCACAAACATGCTGGGGGCTGAGGAATCCCAAGACGAAGGAAACAGTGAAGATTTCCTTATCCACCACTTACTACGTCCCCAAAGCTCAAATTCCCACTTTTCCCAACATCACCCACATTCTGAGCAACTGTCTCAACCAATCCTTCATGGGGAGAGCAAGGGAATGACACACGATCTTAACAAGACATCAGAAGAGCTCTACCAGCTTCAGAGTGTCATTTGTACCAATAACATTACCAGCAATTCTGGTCTTGGAATGGCAATTAATGATACAGTGAGCTTAGACAGACCGTTAGAAATATCACAGAAGAAACAGCAGGCCAGGTCAGACACGATCATGTCAAAGTCAAATACTTCAGGGGTGCGAAGAATATCTGATTCTCATTCTCATGCCATCCACTCGCATCATCAGCAAAATGAGTTAATGGGTTCTGCGGTCCATTATGGAAGAGGTGATCCCTACATACAGCACCCAAACTCCCAGCATCCTCATAGCACTTCACATGTGTCCACACACTCTCAGCACTACACTCAGCACTCTCAAATCTCCCAGCACTCTCTGCACACTCAGCATACACATCACTCTCAACATTCTCAGCATAGTCATCGTAATTCCCTCCCACAAAGCCATTCTCATATAGAGATTAAGAAGCCTTCAGATGCAAATGACAATGCCTACTATGCACCAGATGTACAGCAAACTCGACAAAGCCATGTCTCTGTCACTCTGATGAATATGTCACCAGACCATCCCAAGCAAACTCACATGTTACAGTCTGTCCCTTCTCACACTATCCAAAACAAGCTGGATTCCCAACAAGCCCCACAGCAGCAACAGAAGCACCACCACCAACAGCAGCAACACCAGCAAGCTATGATGGGTTCAGTTAGAAGAGCAGGGTCTGCTGGGTTGGAATCCCATGTACAGAACCGGTCCTCACAGAGTCTAGATACCCACTACAGTGGAACCCATCCAACATATCAAACACGAGCCAGTCAGAGTTCAGTATCTCCACTACAGATGCTAGATCAATCACTTTCTCAGGCCAATGGTACAGACAGTGGAAAATCTCTGGACAGAAGTGGAGCTGATATGACTGTGACAGGACAGGAAAGAGATAGAGGAGACAGACATACACAACAGCACAGACTTAACACCCACCAGCATCCTCAACAAACAAAATCGGATCTTCATGACTTCCTTTCTGAACAAGATTTGGACTTATACACCCCTTCACACTTGAGCCATCTCAACCAACCTCAGACCCACCCCCACACCCATGCTCTGCAACACACTCAGCACACTCATCATCAACTGTCTGTTACCACTCAGATAACTCATTCACACTTGCAACAGATGACAATACATTTAGCAACACCCCAACAACAGCAATCCCAGGTCACAGATCCTGAAACACAACTCTCACACTCACAGTTAGAGCAGCTCAAACAGCATCAATTTGAGACAGTAAGCCAGACAGATAAAGTAGGACAGACTCAAGCTCAACTGCAGCAATGTGCACCTTTGACCTCAATCTGCTTTCCAGACTGTGTTTTTCCTGAGATGGAGGATCTGTTTTGTTCATCTGAATACAAATCAAGCTGTGCGGGGGCAGGACACAGTGCTCAAGAAAACCTCAGCCAGGGTCACGGACCGACACAAGAGGATATGGAGGCTTTAAAATCAGGAGATGCTGCAGAGGGCTATAATATGGTTGGTCATCAAAGCAATCAAGGATTTGGACAGTACTGCCAAAGACTTTCAAGAACAGGAAATGGTGATCTGCACTTAGACCATGACTGTCTGAAGACTCATGAGCTTCCTTCCACTGTGAATACTGACCAGCTTGGCCTCATCCAATCCCAAACTCCCATTATGGGATTGAATTCAGCAGTTCAAGAGGATAGCTTAGTCAACAAGATGATAGCAACTGTGGGAGTGGATGAAAATTCCAACAGCACTGGTGTAACCTCTCCTATCTTCTGTTCCTCTCGGCCCAAAAAACTGCTGAGGACCAGCTCATTTCACTTGCTTAAACAGCGACGTGAGCCACAACCTCAAACAAAGAAAAACTATGCGCAGGAGTATGAATTTTGGGATGACGAAGATAAAGCTGATGTTCCAGCAGATATTCGCCTTAACAATCGCCGGCTTCCTGACTTGCTGCCTGACTTGGTGTCCAGTTGTAGAAAACCTGGTGGGGTTTCTGGAATAAGTGGACTAAGCCCACAAATAGGTGATATGGCCTTTTGCCACCCCTCCAGCTACTCTTCTCTTGGACACCCTTCGCAACCCCCCCCTCACGATGGTCCTAAGAAAAGGGGCAGGAAACCAACTAAACCAAAACGTGAAGGACCTCCTCGGCCACGAGGTCGCCCACGTATACGTCCTCTTCCAGAACCTCCTTACTGTAGGTGCCTGATGGGCTCTGCAGCTGGAGAAAATAGAAGGGGGCGTAGCCGAGGTCGAGGGCGAGGCAGACGGGAAGAAGGAAAAGTGCAAATGCATCGGGATATGAACAAAACACAAACCCTTTCATATAATCACCAGCAACAGTACCAACAGCAACAGTGCAGCCAACATCATCAACAGCAACATCACAGGCAGCAGGCGGATCTCCATCAGCAGCTCCAACAACATCACCACCATCACCAGCAAGAACATGTTTCCTGTCCCCACCCTCAACTGCATCATCAGCAACAACAGCATACATCTCACCAGCCACAGCAAGATCCAGTCAGAAATTTTAAGGTAATGCAGAAAATCTGGTATGTAAATCTGGAATCATGATCCTAAGCAGGGTAAAACCTGTCTTAGCTTGGATTCTTCTTAATAACCTATCTTTTTCTCAGATCAAACTGCCCCTTGCCACTATGTCTCCACCAGAGTCCTTGTTGAGGACAGACTCGCTATCCAGCAGTGAGCCTGTTCTCTCTGAGGGATCGGTGGGGTCGGCACCATCTCTGGGCTTGAGTCCTGGTCCCACTACCACTGTTGACTACAACAGAAATGAGGGGAATCAGACAAAAGACGAGATGATGATACATCAGCAGAGAGCTAAGGAGGTAAAGAAAACTAAGAAGAAAAGAGGCTTCTCATAAAAGCTGCAATAGAAATGTCTGATAAAAGTGTATTTTATCTGCTACACTATAACATTTTGGAAACAGATGTCTAAAGGTGTCATTCTGCAAATTTGAATGGAAGTTCGCAGTGCGAGGCAGGCCGGAGGTGAAAGTTTTCTCCCCTGAGTCAGATTATATTTTAAGAATGGGGGGACTTTTTTTTTATGGGAAAGCCAGATGACTAATTCTGTAAACAAAAGAAATTACTGTTTAAGTGAAAACATAATTATCTGAAGAGTGGATTTTGTTTTAGTGAACAAGAAAATAGTTTAAAAAAAAAGAGCTCAGAGACATAGGGAGAATAAAATCTGCCATCCTCTGCTTTAAAAAAATAATCACATAACCAGTATGAACCTTTTGTGATTTTTTTGTCGTTTAATTGGTCCATAAATACTTACTGATAGGTTTAGTAGAATAAGCAGGTAACAATATTTTTAAAGAAATGAAGTAGTGGGTAACTTTGAGGTGTTTTACAGAAATGAGACATTCATAACACTGTAAGTAATTTTAATTAGTGTCTAACTTTCTCCATCTTACACTGTAAATATGCTGTATTTGTAGATACAAACGACCTTATGTGTGTACATTTTTATATATCAATTTGTTATTGAGTCATTTAATGTTTTCACAGCTTTATTTAATATTCATTTTCTTTGTGTGCTGACGGCTGTTTGACTATTCCACTATCCTTTTATAATACAACATATATGTTTTATATATAAAAATGTGATGAAGGCCTTTGCCTGTCTAATGAGAGACAGAGAGAGTGAGAACAATAGAGCAAAATTAATTTTTTAAATAAATATTGTTCAACTTCAACTTTCAAAAGCACCATAAGAAAACTACAAAAACCGAACGTTTGTGAATGAAGAAAGACTTCAATAGAAGAATTTTTTTATTTAAATAAAAAAACAAAACTGATTAACATAATAATAAACAGTACTTTTATTTATATTTCTCTTTATTTGTACATTTATGTTATTGTCTGCTTCTTTGCTTTTCTTTTTTATACCCATTCTTTTCTTCTTTGTTTCTTTTTGTCATGAAAATGAATCTGAGGGAGAAAATTCTCTGGCTCTTCTCAACAATGTTGCTCATTATTCTACTAAAATGCATGGAAATCAAACACTACTTATAATTACTGACAGTATAATTTCTTTCTTCATTCATTGTCACGGTCTGGCTGGCAGACCGTGGGGATGTGGGGAAAGGAGGACCCAAAACGCAGACTCTGCGATGCAAACAGTGCTCTTTATTCACAGTGAAAAACTGTAAACACAATAACTCCCCGTTGCTCCCTTGAACCCCGTGTGCGTGCTTCCCTCCGACGTCTGTGCTCGTGCTCGTGCTCCCCGCTGTTGTGTTTCCGCACACCCCGTGCGTGCTGCCTTTCTGGACCAGTCTTCCTCCTGCAGGGAAACCATAGAGGCAGCCGTCAACACTAACCCTCGGCGGGCATATACGAACAACACAGACATATGCTGACACACTAACTTGGTACGATAACTCAATGATCCCGCGCCGGTGGGAGCTCCAACACTCTCCTAAGTAGCTCCCCCGACGAGCCCTGATCACCAACAGGTGTGGCAGGAACTTCAGGTGTGGCCAGTCCTTCGCAGGGCCACACCTATCAGGCCTGCAGGTGGCTGTGCTCCATCCTCCAGCCACACCCGCAGACATACACACGTATACACCCACACCCTGCCTATACATACGAGTGGGACACAGACTAACACAGCATTGTGGAGAAAACACACATCACCAAATAATAATAATACTAACAACAATAACAACAGTCAAAACTGGTCACGGACCCCCGAGTCCTCCAGAGCCGGGTCCGTGACATTCATATAAAAACTGGAATTGTAACTCTTTATTCTAGTATGCCCATTAGTAAGTCTTTGCAGGTAAATTAAATGGCCTACATTAAAAATGTTTTTTTAAAAACACATTAAAAACTACTTTAAGATGGGGGAATGAGACCTTCAGTTATGAGCCATGTTATAAAGTGAAGTTCAGAATAAACAATGAGCAGAAACAGATTTATCCTTGTAGTCATGTAATATCATTTGTGCTGAGGTTTCAGTGTTGTCTGTGAATGTGTGGGAGAAACAACTGTCACCATGAGTGGAAGCTGACTGATTTTACATGGCAGTTTCAACTTTGAGTTTCATGCTAGAGTGAAACGAAAGCTAGTTGCCATGGCAACGGGAAGATGCTCTGTATGTACAATCAATATTCTCAGTATAAGGGACGCCTGAAATCTCCCCCAAAATGAAAGTAATTGCACATTTAAGCAACACTCTTATTATTTAGTAAATGTTGTTAGCACTGCAAGTAAAAAAACAGACTAAGTGTTAAAGTGCCGACTTGGCGTCTGTAGGACTCCACCTTCAAAATGGGTGAAAGACAACGACGTTGCAGGACAGTACAGCAAAAACATTGCTGTTTTTCTCGTGTTTAATTTCCTGAGACAATAAGTATTGGTTCAATAACAATACTCATTATAGCTAAACTAGGTATCAAGTTTAACCTTTCTCTGTAATGGTTTGACCTATCCTTTGTTATATATTTATTTACCCTTGTCATTACGGTTTTAACTGTAAAACAGCTGGTGGTGGATGGTTGGAAGAAAGAAACTGACAATTCACTGAATCCTGAAGCCTGGACTGCTATGCAGAAACTCTCAAATTCAGTAAGTTCCTTTAGTCCATTGCATAAATGAGGAAAGCCAGGAGCTTCATATATAATTCATATGTCATCTATTCAAATTCAAGCCTCTGGAAGAAGCATTTCTTCATAAATCAGGTAGTTATAGGCATTTAGACAATACCTGTGAAATAATGTGGCACTGATCCCTGGTAGAGTCTGCAGTGGAACAAAAGAACAACAACATCAACTCTATTTTAATTTGTATAATTTGGAAAGAAAGTGGATGAGGCTGATTGACAGCCAGCTTTTTCTGGCTTACAAAACGGAGAGGAGAGCGATGCCTGCCACCAAGGCAGCTGTTGCCACAGTTACTGCATTTTTCAGCACAAGACCTTAGTGCCATCTGCTGGCTGTTAAGCTGTACTACCAAGATCTGTATTTACTGCTAAAGTGGAAAACTCCTTCACAGCTCTTACAAACTTTATTATAATGGAAAAGTTAGATTGTTGTTTAGTCCACATGTAAAAAATTCAGCACAAAGGGTGTCTCTTTATTTGCTATGAGCTATATACGCAATACATGGACAAACGTATCGGGTCAATACAATGATTTGAATTCAGCTGTTGTCAGTTACCTGGCCAGTTTGTTTCAGTTGTGAAAGAATGAATTGTTCGAAAGAGTGCAGTGTGCTACAGTAATGGGATGCCACACCTGCAACAGCTTAGCTTGTAAAATGTTCTTCTAGATATTTGATAAGCATATGAAGTTGCAGAGTGGGTTCACTGTTTGCTGAAGGGCATATTGTGTAAAAGTCACTCACTGAGGCCTACGCAGCTCTGCCCATGAAAGTAAACTTTGACACAAAATACTCTGTTTTATGACATCATAGCAAACTTGGAGGGTTTGGACTTTATGGATCAAATTACAAATCTGTCATTTACCTTAAAATAAGATAAGATAACCTTTATTAGTCCCACACGTGGGAAATTTGTTGTGTCACAGCAGAAAGTGGACAGTGCAAAGTTACAGTAGCAAAAATTAAGAAAAATAATGGAATTGGATAAGATAATAAGAATAGGATACTATATACAACTGCATTAAACATTTTAAACAACTGCATTAAACACTATATACAACTGAATTAAATAGTAGGTTGTCAGAAAAAAGTAAAATTGCACTGTATTTCACATGTGTGGATGTGTGTGTTTGGTCATCTGCAAAGTCTTTGTTCTGGAGTCTGACAGCAGTGGGGAGCAAAGATCTGCAGAATCAGATCTGCAGAATCTCTCAAGTTGAAAATGCAGCCACTTAGGTGAACAACTGATGTGTATGGAGGGACACATCAGTGTCCAAAGTAGTGGTTTATGTGCAAGTATACCATCCACACTGACACAAATACAAGAAAACAGCCTTTGAATAGATGTCCACTGTAGTCTTTCTAAGTGAATGCTGGCAATTATTATGTCATAACACCATCAGTTATTAGCTTCTGCTTTTTTACAGATTGACGAGAAGGTCTTGGACTTCAAACCAAGCTTCATGGCCTCTTTTTTGGATTTTCTGAAGACAGGTAAAGTACAGCCAGCCCTTGAACCAAGACATGATGGAGGCAACCAAGAAACCTGTTCCTCTATGAGGGGAGGAATTAAATGCTTATCCTCACCATCTCCTCCCCTACCACCAACTTCTCCCCAGCAGCCTCCAGGACAGTTCAGCGATGGCAGCCCGGGTGAAGGGCCAGACCTAACCCTCAGTAGCTGCCAAAGTCCCTGCAAACCTCTGGATGATGAACTGAAAAGAAACCTGGAGACTCTCCCCTCTTTCTCCTCTGATGAGGAGGATTCAGTAAATAAGAACCAGGACTTGCAGAAGAGCATCTCATCTGCAATCTCTGCCCTCTATGACACTCCACACTCACTGGCTGCTGCAGTGGCTTCTGCAGTAGTCAAAGCACAACCCATGCTTTCTCCACCCACGCCACAGGAGCCGTCGCTCAGCCCGCCTCTCAAGACCAATTCTCCCCTCATTCCTAGTATGGAGAGCATAAAAGATGGGGCACTTGCACACACTCAGCATAACACACAAAGTAAACAAAACACACGTGAGGAACAAAAAATGATTTCCACACTGTCGGACATGGAGGGGGTAGGATCTCAGCATGAAAGAGAAGAAGAAAACAGCAAGAAGGAGGAAGGCGAGGAGATGGCAAGCAAAGAAGAAAACATCAGGCATTCACACAATATGTTGCAGGGACCAGCGGAAAAACAGGAGAGGGAGGATACAGCAACTGACACGCAGATTATGGAGGGCCATGATGGTATTTATATTTGTCCTCTTATTTCCTCTTTAACAGCTTCAGTTTGTAGTTACGTTCTGTGGTGCTCATCTGTGAGATGGCCTCCATTTAACACATGTGTAACTTCAGCTTGGTTGTAGATGTTAGTGTCTCGCTGTTAAAACATTGTCTCCACTGTCAAATTTCTAAAAATGTGTCGTGTCCAAATTCATGGGCTGCATCCTCCTGAGGCCGCATTTGTAGACCAATTATGTCACAAGGCCGTCCAAATTCATACTCTTCCAAATACAGCCGACTAATGTGTCCTCCTTTTCCCCGAATTTGAAGGATGGGTCGGGTGTGTCCTTCGTGGCCCACCATATCCCAGAATTCATAGCACTGCTCAGCCAATTCCAGTTTTCAACAATGGCGGCCACTACTAAGTTTTAAAATTACTCTTATTATTCTTTCTGGGTCACAAAATAAACTTTAAAGATATTTTCAGGCGAGCATGTAGCCGTGTAAACTCCAAATATCTGCTCGGTTTATCAAGACATCACATATTTGCAAAAGTGCTCCGACGTTTTCGGAGACGTCTGCTACCCACCAGCTCGATAGCTGACCAGGAGGTCGAGGGTCACTACAGCTGCCGAGAATGGCAAACTCCCTGCACATCATTTTCAGATCACCGCGGTCTTTCACTACTGAGGTTAAACGTAAGTCACTTATATAACCTAAAATGTTATTTTTTGGCTTTTTCGTGTTTTATTTGTTCCTGAGTAAATCCGTTTGGCTGAGACTAAAGTTATAGTTTTCACACAGCTGAATAAACGTCACACAGAAAACTGAAACAGAAGTGTGAGATGGTCGATAGTTTACTCCAGTGTCCTGTTATATTTTAGATAGCAAGGAGCAGACGGCTGAGCTTATTAAAGTCCACCGAGACAGCGGTGACGCTAATCTGAAGGCTTCCGGTCTACCCGACCTTCTGAGGACCCGGCCCACATAGACCGCGAAGGCCGGGTCCTCAGGAGGATGCAGCCCATGAATTTGGACACGACAAAATTCTCTAGATCCGGGGTCGGCAATCTTTCTGATAATGAGTGCCATTTAAAATTTCCTCAGAAGTCAGTGTGCCATATGATTGCATTAGCAATAAATGTAATAACGCTCTGTATTAACAGTTACACACTATATAGAACAACTTTATAGAATTATATTTGTTGACAGATGTTGGCAGCTGTCAGCGAATAGTTATCAGCTATTTTGAAACAAAGAAAAAGACACTTTTTATCCATAACAGCAAATGAACTGTACAACAGAAAATGTAAATGCTATTTATGGTCTCCTCACAACAATGATAAGAATAATAAACTGGGCCAATATGGCATGTTTGTTAATACAGAGACATATGTTAATGTGATCTCTGGTCTCCCACTCAGAGACACAGGTCTCCCAGTGTTCAGCATTCAGAGGCTACCTGAGGACTCATATGAGAGAATCTGCTCACACAGACATGTAGAGCCAAACACTGTCAATAAGGCCTCTGCAATGTTCTGAAGACAGTTAAACTTGTCAGGTAGTGACGTCCAGCAGGTGAACATGCAGCTCCATGAACACGCACAGCTGTGGATTCCAGCTGCTTCGATGTTATATGTATGATTTCTATACATTTTACATCAGATAAAAACTTTGGTTGTAAGATTTAGATAATTATTTAATAAAAGCGAGACATTTTAAATGAGAATAAGAAAGAAAAGTATTTCTTTGTGCCCCCTCTCCCTGTCAATGCCCTACCTGCCCCCCTGGCAACACTTTGCTAGACCCGCCCCTGCACAGTTACCAGCTGTCAGCTGCTTAGAAAAGGATCCTGGTGTTATTTGTCTCTCAGAAACAGTTCATAACTTCAACTCATTCATGTGACCTAAAAGGTAAACCTGTTTCTCCATCACAGCCCTGATGATTCAGTAAGGACATCTCCTGGTTTCATCCTCATGTTTCCCTCTCACCACATATCTAAACCGATATCATGACCAGCAGCTTTACAGCTGTGGCTCCAGCAAACATCAGCTGATACTAGAAATTAATATTAAATAAATTCTAACAGCTGATCAAGCTTAAACGTGCTGCTGTTGTTTAGTGCGACAACCGCTGGTTTCCTCTTTCTGGCGCAAAGTGGGCGATAAACAAACAAGAGAGCCGATCAGCTGATCATTGATCAGTTTCATGATTGAAGTAGAAACAGGAGAGGGAGGGGGAGAGAATGAGAGAAGAAGAGGCAGCTGTGCAGCAAAGACACAGAATAACTCCAGCTTTGTGTCTTTTTCATTGTAGCTGAAGTCTGGGACAAACTGTGTTCCTTTTCACCTCAACACGAAACGCGTAATATTTTCTCTGAATACGAGACGATTCCGTCTTTTTACAGGACGGTTGGCAACTCTACTAACTAACCTTATGAATTAAATAAAGTTCACTATCAGTAACATCATAGCACCACCCAGCTGTATAGAAACTCCATCATGCTAGCTAGCACACAGTACGAGTTATTGTAACTGACTGTAAAAAGTCAGCACAACAAAAATAAACTCCACCTAAACTTGGTTTATATCTGAACCTGATAGACTGCAGGTCATAACTTCTTACCTGAAGTTCAGTTCACCTGACATCTTGGCCACCTCGGGTCTGTCCTCCTGCCTCCCCTTTCTCTCATCCACCTGCTGGCCTCCACCACTTGCTAATGTTACTGAATCTGAGGAAGTGAATCTGATATGGCAGCCTCGCTTCTGTCAGTCTGCCCCAGGGCAGCTGTGGCTACAACTGTAGCTGCTTCTACCAGTGTGTGAATGTGAGAGTGAATGAATAGTGGCATTTGTACAGTGCTTTGAGGGCCCCGAAAAGCGCTATATAAATGCAATCCATCATCATTATTATTATTATTGAGCACCGCCACAGCCACCACCAAACAACTGAGTTATTTTTACACACCGACCAGCATCTGGCCAATCCACCACCTTTCATTGTTTATGCCGTTACAAAGAAAAAAAAAAGTCACCGGGCCACCGAGCAAGTGCCCGGTATGCCCGAAGTCTTTTCAAGTAATATTATAAACTCACCCTGTGCCTTTTCTTTCAGATTCACCATCAGGACGTGTGCCTGCTCCTGCACCTCCATCACCATTCATCTCCTCCTCACCGCTCACATACTCATCACCATCGCCTCTCCCTCCCCCGTCAATCTCTGTACCTTCTCCACCACCAGTCCAACAGAATGAGGAAGAAGTCAGTCTAAGTGATCTTTCTTCTGATCAGCATATGCAGCAATCCTCCTACCAGCAGGCTTCAACTGCAGCCACCTCCCCACCCCCCTCCACCTCGCCACCAGTCATCCCATCGTCACCGCTGTTCAACCTTCCCTTCGGCCAATCGACCCCGCCCCCATCCACCACACCTCCCCCATCATCCTCTGATCAGGATCAGGAACCTGAAGCTGGGTTGCCTTACTTTTCCACTTTATCCTCCTCACCCTCTTCATTGTCCTCTCACCCACCATCACCTCCAACGCCAGAGGAGGCCCCACAATCCCAGCGTCTTACCTCCCTTCACCTGGCAAAGAAGCAGGCTGATGCTGCCATCGCTGGGGAGAGTGAAGAAGAAGACAGTGAGAGTGGAGGTGAGGGAATCTTCCGTGAGCGGGATGAGTTTGTGGTGCGAACTGAGGACATTGGTACTCTTAAGGTGAGTCATGCCACAGGCCTCAGGAAGTATGTGTTCTGAATAGATAACTTACCAGCCATAATATATGCTGACTGTCTGTCTGTATCACTAGATGGCCTTGCAGACAGGCCGAGAGCCTCCACCTATCTGGAGGGTGCAAAAAGCTTTGCTCCAGAAATTCAGCCCAGAGATCAAAGATGGTCAAAGGCAGTTCTGTGCAACAAGTAACGTGAGTTTTTCAAAAAGACGTAGTTTATGTTTAAGGACATAAACTGTTGGTGGACAGCTCTGGGTTCAAAACAGTTCAACACAGACCTGGTATTGTTCCCAGAGCCAGTCTCTTTGATGCTTGACGTTTTTCTCTTCTCAGCCTATTAAAACGTAACATTAAAGCAGTTTTCTGTAGAATGGATCATTATATTCTTTGCAACATTAGAATTTTTACAAATATATCTCTTTATGACATATTAATTGTTGTCTGTTCTCTCAGTATTTGGGTTACTTTGGTGATGCCAAAGTGCACTACCAGCGTTTATATGTGAAGTTCTTGGAGAATGTCAACAAAAAAGATTACGTCAGAGTGTGTTCACGAAAGCCATGGCACAGAGCTGGCCTGACTCTGAGGTAAGGCGAGAGAAAGACACTGAGTGGAAAGTGTAACCAGAACTGGCCTGCATCAAGGTTACCCTGGATTACCAGGCCCAAACTCCCCCCTCCCATAAAACTTGTTGATGAACTCTCAACACACATAGACTGTACCACACAAAAACAATTCAGTGACTAATTTCAACATTTTAATTAATCTATGTTTCATGTGCCTGTGCTTAAGACAAACACCAATTAAGTTAGTGTCTCTCCTCATGTCTACTGACTGACAGACGCCAGCCTCTACCTAAACAGCTGCTGACCATTCACAATCAGAGCCAACCTCGAATAGATAGTCGACACAAGGAGAGACGGAATGAAAGAGAGCTAATGGAGCAGAGAGAAAGAGAAAGAAGAGAGAGAGAAACAAGGAAAAAAGTAGAAACGGAACATAAGGAAAGAGAAAGGAAGGAGGAGAGAGATCGCAAAGAACAAGAAGAAGAGAGGCACAAGAAAGAAAAAGATGGTGGAGAACAAAATGAGAGGGGTCACAGAGATGTGAAAATGGAAAGTGAGAGTGAAAGAAGGGAGAAGGAGAAAAAAGAAAGGGAACTTAAAGAGAGGCAGCAAAGGAAAAAGGAAAAACAGGATAGGGAGCAGAGGGAAAGGATGAACCAAGAGAGAGGATGGAAAGAAAAGGAAAGATCACTGAGAGAACAAAAAGAGAGGGAGAGGATAGAAAAGGAGAAACAGGAGAGAGAGAGAGAACAAAAACTTAGGGAGAGGGAATGGGGAGAGAGGCACAGAGACCAGAAGGACAGACAGCAGAGGGACATGGAGACAGATGGTGAGCCGAAAGAAAAGGAGAAAGCTCAGGAAAAAGAAAGAAAGGAGAACATGGAGCAAGTCAACAGAGATTATACAATGGCATCAAAAGAAGAGAAGAACCGAGGAGACATAAAGATGGCATTTCAGGGAAGAGCCAAGACTTCAAAGGACAAGGCTGAGCCTCCACCCAAGAAAAGGAAGAAATGGTTGAAGGCGGTGCTGTCCTCTTCATCTGAGTCCGACTACTCCTTACTCAGTGATGATGAAGGTCAGCTGTTCTTTGAGTGCATATGATGCACACATTTATTTTTAACCCATTGCCTTCAACCAACGATTACTGTGTCCAGGCCTCTGTGCAGCTGGTTTTGTGTTTTAGGGCCTGCGCGGGGTGGAGTGAACAGTCGAGCCATGAGGGACATGTTCAGGAGCTATGTGGAGATGTTGGTCAGCACAGCACTTGACCCTGATATGATTCAAGCCCTAGAGGACACAGATGGTGAGCACTCAGTTCAAACTACACTGTAGTCTTAAGTCAGAGAAAAGCATTCTCCAAGAAAATGGAGAATGCATGCATGTCTGTCTGTATGATTCCAAGAATTTTTGTAATATGCAAAGAAAAACAGAATGCAGTATTTGGAAATTTCACATTTTTATTCAGCATTTCAACACAAATCAAATGTTTAAACTGAGCCATTTTAGTATTTGGTGAAATATATTAGCTCATTTTGCATTTGATGGCAAAAACAGTCGTTGAACTAAGTAGATGGAGTTGCTATATTATTGACAGAAGAACGTTGACCCATTCTCTTCGGTGTTGTCCACCCATCCACCCATCCATTCTCTTCCACTTATCCTTGTCAGGGTCGCGGGGGTGGGGTTGGGGTTGGAGCCTATCCCAGCTGTCTTAGGGCAAGAGGCGGGGTACACCTTGGACAGGTTGCCAGTCTGTTGCAGCGCTAACACATAGAGACAGACAACCATTCACACTCACATTTGCACCTATGGGCAATTTAGAGTTACCAATTAACCAATCCCCAATCAAATTAATTCAAATAAATCTTAAAGAGTACCTATGTGCAGAACAGTCCAAGGAAAACAATTAAAAGGGCAACTAAATCCAAGAGCCTGGAGAAACTACAGAAGGTGGAAAAAAAAGCATAAAACACAGGGCTGACAATATGTGACAAAGACTAAGAGAAAGACAGCAACTATAAATATACAGAAGGGTGACTGGAGCAGAGATGAATCACCTGGGGAGCAGAGCTGCAACAAGACAGTGCACTCAAGACTAACTGATAAAACAGGAAGTAAGAAAGAATGGATACACTAACATGTGAAAACTTAACAAGGCATGGGGAACACAGGGCAGCATCACCCTGTAAAATCTAATTAGTTCCCAGAAATCAAAAAAACTATGCAAACTCGTTGCCTTAAAAACACTAAGTAAAGCTTACTTATGACTGTTAGGACCACTCATTCATTGCAAGTATGCAGTACTAAGAATAACTTGATGTTTCTGACTGTGCAGTACTAATTGTTTACCCACTGACAAACATTTCAAGTTCAACTAAATTAAATAACAATTTGTGGTAACTTACTTAAAAAAAAATCACATTACAGGGCTCTAGACTAACTTTTTGCCACAGTTGCACTGGTGCGCCTAACTTTTTTTCTTAGGTGCACCAGCACAAAAGTTAGGCGCACCCAAATGTTTCAACAGCATCGCTTAAAACCAGTTTCACATGTGCACTTTTAAGGGGGCAAAATTGCTGTCCATACAGACAATATTCATTTGTAAATGATTAACTAACAATCTAACAAGACTAGAAAGGAGAAACTCAGTGCATCATGGGAATCCCCGGCAGCCTATGTCTATTGCAGCATAACTAAGGGAGGATTCAGGGTCACCTGGTCCAGCCCTAACTATATGCTTTAGCAAAAAGGAAAGTTTGAAGCCTAATCTTTAAAGTAGAGATAGTGTCTGTCTCCTGAATCCAAACTGGAAGCTGGTTCCACAGAAGAGGGGCCTGAAAACTGAAGGCTCTGCCTCCCATTCTACTTTTAAATACTCTAGGAACAACAAGTAGGCCTGCAGAGCGAGAGCGAAGTGCTCTAATAGGGTGATATGGTACTACAAGGTCATTAAGATAAGATGGGGCCTGATTATTTAAGACCTTGTATGTGAGGAGCAAGATTTTGAATTCTGGATTTAACAGGAAGCCAAAACAGGAGAAATCTGCTCTCTCTTTCTAGTCCCTGTCAGGACTCTTGCTGCAGCATTTTGGATCAGCTGAAGGCTTTTCAGGGAGTTTTTAGGACTTCCTGATAATAATGAATTACAGTCGTCCAGCCTGGAAGTAATAAATGCATGAACTAGTTTTTCAGCGTCACTCTGAGACAGGATATTTCTAACTTTAGAGATGTTGCACAAATGGAAGAAAGCAGTCTTACATATTTGTTTAATATGTGCGTTGAAGGACATGTCCTGGTCAAAAATGACTCCAAGGTTCCTCACAGCGTTACTGGAGGCCAAGGTAATGCCATCCAGAGTAAGAATCTGCTTAGATACCATCAGGGGCGGATCTAGAGAAATTTTCTTAGGGTGGCATGAGGGTGGCAAAGAAATCAAATGGGGTGGCAAAATCAAAGCCTTTTTTTTTCCAAACACATATGCAGGTGGTTACATATGGTTAGAATAATTCAAATGCAGTAAGTATACACGTTTTTCATATAAATATAGTCTAGAACTTAATTATTGTCTGTAGCCCACATAATTACACACTTTAGTTACATAAAACATGTGAGTTTTGATGTTATGTACTGTATAGCCTGTATAATAAATAAATATTTAGCACAACAATTATAAAATCCAGAAAGCTACACAACATGGGGCGGTTCATTTACCAACACAAGTCTAACTTATGTTTCACACTGTTAGAAAACAATCACATTGTTACAGCTTAAATGACACAAAATGTCAGAAATCTGCACTGTCATGAACAAAAATTTAAACCTAATTTTTCATGATTTGTTGGATTAACCCACTGAGGTCTGAAATACAACCGGCCACTTTTGACTCCTTTTGAGTTTATGTTTGTATTTCACCCTCAGATTGTTTCATTTTATTTTTTCCCCCGTTGCCTTGTTTGGTATCTTTTCAGCTCAACTGAATTTAGTTGTTTTTTCGCTGACATACTGCATTAGTGTTACTGATCTGAAACCACACAAAGAACTTAAAATCCTACTAGTATTTTTTTACTGTAAAAAAAAAAAAAAACAGTAAATTTTTATAACTTGAAATGCAAATATAAATTGTACATTTTGTAAACATAAACAACTATTTATCTAAAAATGCAGCCAATACACCTGCCGTTTCTTTCATTTTCTACAACCATTTAAACATATTACGAAAATTAAAATAAGAGAACAATCAGGTGTTGCAATAAGATGCCCTACAAATGATGTGTGCCATTAAAAAAACAAGTTTGTCCACCAACAGACAGAAGAGCACAGGGACAAACCTGCAGGCCTGACAACAGCAAGTGTATCACTGGTTTTCTACTTAGTGACAGTGCTTACAAATGTGCCTCTGTGACATTCATTAGTGCCCTCACTGACACACAAAACAAAACGAATACACAACAGAACAACAACACAAAACACTAAGTAAACACTCCACACTAAACGTCACAAATCTCCCACATCTAAACTCTCTCTCTCTCACTCGCTCGCTCTCTCTCACTGCCGTTACCGTCCTTTTCCCTCTTCCTAAACAACCAAATCCTACGTGTTGACTGTTTTTTTTTTAATTGGTTGACATGGTGGATTTTTCCACCGATAGGAAAGAGGTGGCTTTTTTCTTTCTTTACTGTTTTCGCGGCGTCCTTAGAAAACGCTTTAAACCCACACACACAAAAACGTGACGACAGTATTTAGAAAAAAGCGTGGCTTATATATATGATCATAACTCTGGATTTACTGGCCTGTAATTAAAATTTAAAAACTTTGAAGTCTGAATTTTCAATGTGGCTGAAACAGAGACTCAGCGTGGCTGCAGCTTGTTGCTGTATCAGCTTACATCAGTCATGTGATTTGGAGGTGCAGCGTGTCTGTGGACCACAGAGGGTTAATAACACTCACCTTCCTTCCATTTCCAGAGTGTAACATCCACCCACCTGTGTAAAAAGCGAAATTCCCATGGTGTTGTTCAGAATGTGCTCTGGCACAATCATAAGCATCGCTTGCTACTGAAAATAAGAAAAAAGCCGGTCCTGCTATGGGCTGAACCATTTGTTAATGGTGGAGGGGGAGACACTATCCAATATATTCAGTTTTAGTATTTATATTCACTGTTGACAGTAACTACGCTCAAACTCTTAATGCTATCTTATTTTAATAAACAACACTGTCATATGCAAAACTGGGGTGGCAAGGGATCATTTTAGGGTGGTACTTGCTACCCCATGCCACCCTTCTAGATCCGCCCCTGGATACCATATTTCTAAGATTTTCAGGGCCGAGTACAATAACCTCAGTTTGATCTGAGTTAAGAAGCAGAAAGTTAGCGGCCATCCAGGTCTTTATGTCTTTAAGACATTCCTGCACTTTAACTCATTGGTGTGTGTTATCTGGCTTCATGGACAGATAGAGCTGGGTGTCATCTGCATAGCAGTGAAAATGTATGCTATGTCTTCTAATGATGCTGCCTAAGGGAAGCATGTATAATGTAAACAGAATTGGTCCTAGCACTGAACCCTGTGGAACTCCATAATTAACCTCAGTGTGTGAAGAGGACTCTCCATTTCCATGCACAAACTGGAGTCTATTAGATAGATATGATACAAACCACTGCAGCACAGTACCTGTAATACCTACAGCATGTTCTAATCGCTCTAATAGGATATTATGGTCGACAGTATCGAACGCTGCACTGAGGTCTAGCAGGACAAGCACAGAGATGAGTCCACTGTCAGAGGCCATAAGAAGATCATTTGTAACCTTCACTAAAGCTGTTTCTGTGCTGTGATGAGCTCTGAAACCTGACTGAAACTCTTCAAATAAACCTCTGCAGATGATCTGTTAGCTGTTTGACAACTACTCTTTCAAGGATGTTTGATATAAAGGAAGGTTGGAGATTGGCCTATAATTAGCTAAGACTGCTGGGTCTAGAGATGCTTTTTGAGTAAAGGTTTAACTACAGCTAGCTTGAAGGCCTGTGGTACATAGCCGATCATTAGAGATAGGTTGATCATATTTAAGATCGAAGAATTAATTAATGGCAGGACTTCTTTGAGCAGTTTTGTAGGAATGGGGTCTAAAAGACATGTTGATGGTTTGGAGGAAGTAATTATTGAAGTTAACTCAGTTCAGTTCAGTTCAGTTCATTTTTATTTCAAACATTTCAAACATGTGCCTTCACAATCATTACAAAATATCATTCCATTATTTGTTTGAAAAGGAGTAGGCTGAAGTATTTACTTATTTGTCCCTACCCCC